CCCCCCCACTCACCCCTCCGTCCATCCCTTCCGCAGCCGAGTGAGGAAAGGACCCCTTTTCACTGTCTGTCCGTCTCCCCGTTGGCCTCGCGCAGGAGCAGCATGTCCGCCCTGGCCAACCTGACGCAGACCCTGGAGGACGCCTTCAGGAGGGTCCTCGTCGGGTACATGGACGCGTGGCGCCGGAACACGACCGCCCAGCAGGAGGCCCTGCAGGCCCGGGTGGACGCCGAGAACTTCTACTACGTCATCCTGTACCTCATGGTGATGATCGGCATGTTCTCCTTCATCGTGGTGGCCATCCTGGTGAGCACGGTGAAGTCCAAGCGGCAGGAGCACTCCAACGACCCCTACCACCAGTACATCGTGGACGACTGGAAGCAAAAGTACAAGAACCAGATCCTGAGCCTGGAGGAGGCCAGGGCCACCGTCCACCAGAACCTCGGCGCGGCGGGCTTCAAAACGTCCCCGTGAGCCTGGCCGGCGTGGCTCGGCGGAGAGAGCCTCGGCCTGCGGACCGAAGGGTCCCGGGTTCGATTCCGGTCCAGGCACGTCCCTGGGTCGCAGGCTCCTCCCCGGCCGAGGCCCTGGTCCGGGCGCGTGCAGGAGGCAACCAATCGATGTGTCTCTCTCACATGGATGTTTCTCTCTGTCTCTCCATCTCCCGTCCACTCTCTCTAAAAGTCAATGGGAAAATATCCTTGGGTGAGGATTAGCAAAAAACAAACAAAAAAACCCGTCTCCTTGACAAGCGAGAAAGACAGGGAGCCGACCTCAGATGCCCGCCCTGGAGCCCCCAAACTCTCTGCTCAGAAGACACCTCGCCGCTTGCCGTCTGCGGAGACACTGCAGAGACCACGTGTTGCATCCCTGAGGCAGGCGGCATGTCGCATTGGTGCCTGGCACTTGCTCATGGGAGTGGTGTGCTGTGTGAGGAAAGGAGAGATTTGCAAAGTGCTGAGTTTTCCTTCTCCTGTCACGTGATTTTGTATGTGGCTAATTCAACTGATAAATAGGATGTGTGACCCGGATGCCGAGGTTCAGAATCCATCCCCTGTCACTGGGCTGACGGGAGCCTTAATTGATACACTCAGAGCACGAGTCCCAGTGAAAATGGCAGCGCTGTGGGGTTACAGTGGGTGCATTCTTCTCCTGGCATTGAAGTTGCTCGGAGTTGGACGACAGCCCACCACAGGGAAGGAGAATCGTGAAGAGCTACCCGCGCAAACATTTCTAAATGGTCATTTAACGTCCCGCAGACAATGAACTCGCTGAACTTCGACTTAGTATGGAAAAAGCAATAAAGGCACGGCTTGGCTTTATCAGCCTTTTCTTTTCACACAATTTCCTTTTCCTCTCCCTACAGCGACTACCTTTACTTATGTTTGCAAAGACCAGGGGACAGAGAGTGTCTGAGCTGCTGGGGTCTGTCGCAAAGCTCGACAGCAATCGCTTCACATCACAGAGTGAGGCCGGGGGACCCCGATCACCACACGCGTGTCAGACCGTTCCACGTGCAGATGCCGAGTCTGCCCTCCGCAGATTAGGGGCCTTCGCTCATTCATTTCATAAGCGCCCTCTGCCCTCTGTCCACTCGGGTCACGGGCCGACCTCCACAGAACAGAGGGGACCGAGACCCCCTGAACGGGAGGCACCCGCCCAGCAGGGAGGCAGTCAGACCCACAGCAGAGATCCTCACAGGGTGGGCGGAGCTAGAGCAGGGCCAGGGGCGGGCCTAAGGCCACAGTCCCCTCTCTCAGGAGCTGGGGTAGGAGCTCTGGGAGACAGATGCCTGGGGCGGCTGCATGGAGCTCCCTGCCTCCTGGCTCCCCTCCCCTCCTCCACCCCCACCCATCCCCAAGGCAGTGCAAGGCAAGCAGGGCCTCACGCACGTCTCAGGGCAGGAGACAAAACTCAGAGCAGGAGCCCTCCTTCCCGCGAGCTGGCTTGTGGGGTGTATTCCACCTGCGACAGGGTCTGTCTCTTCAGGGGGAGATATAATCAAGGTATCGATTCTTGTAACGAGCTGCGATTTTGCTCAGGAGGCAGGACAGTTAGCTCAGGGGACAGAGGCCCCGGGCTCCATCCCCGTCTAAGTCAGAGCGCTGCGGCTGTGACCTGTGGCTGACACCCGCCCCTCGCTGCTCCCCTCCCAATGTCCTGGGGCAATAAATAGTTGAGACAAATAAAAACTGGTCTCAGCCAGAGATAGCAGCTACATTGACCTACACGACAGTTTTTGTTTTATTTGTGTGTTTTTTAAAAAATATATTTTTATTGATTTCAGAGAGGAAGGGAGAGGGAGAGAGATGGAAACATCCATGATGACAGAGAATCATGGATCGGCCGCCTCCTGCACACCCCACACTGGGGATGGAGCCTACAACCCGGGCCTGTGCCCTGACCGGGAATTGAACTGTGACCTCTTGGTTCGTAGGTTGATGCTCAACCACTGAGCCACGCCGGCCGGGCCTCTCCTCCTTCTCGAGTGTGCACTCCCACTTTAAGGAACCTGCTGTGCTCTGCTCTGTCCCCCCCTTGCGTACTTTCTTGCGAGGTGATAAGAACCTGGACACTGTCGCTGGGTTGAGGCCTCCCTTGGCCTCCCTGGGAGCCGCGGGCATCACTCCCGGAGTCTTAACTCCAGTGTCAGAGAACGCCACGCCTGTTCCGGGAGCAGATGTGGCGAGTGGCTTCCTCCTCCGAGCAGCCTAGAAAGCTGTTCATGCCAACGTGCCCACATCAGTGACCCGGCGGCAAAGCTGGGCCTCGGGTCTGGACCCGACAGGGACGCCAGAGAAAGCTGCTGCACACAGACGTTCATGCCAACGTGCCAGCATCAGCGACCCGGCTGCGAAGCTGGGCCTCGGGTCTGGACCCGACAGGGACGCCAGGTCTCCCGCAGGCGGCACGGTGCTCTCCGCGGACCCGGCGCTGGCCAGGCTCCTGGGAGCCCTCTGGTCACTCGGAGACCTGAACAAACACGGGAAATGGGGGGTCTACAGGAACGCTGGGTGTGCAGCTGCAGAGACCCTCTGCCCCGTTTGCCACTCCGGCCCCAGTCCCACCAAACCCAGGCTTGCCACCTCCACCCGGAACTGCAGATGCCAGTTCAAACAACTCCCCCGCCCCCTTGGCTTCAGGAGTGCCCTCTGCTTGGTCTACCAGCTCTGGGAGCCCTGCGCCCACTTACTCCCGAGTGTGAAGTGTGATTTGGGCAGGAAGCAAGGCCGCCCTGAGGCCAGGCCCAGACGGGACTCAGGCCCCGCCTAGCAGGGCTGCTCTAAACCTGGACAGATGCCTGCATCTCCCGGTGTCCACCGCCTCCTCTGGGAACCCTTTCCGGGCTTGTGATGAGACTTCCTTAGACAGGAGCCTCCAAGTGCTTAGAACAGAGCAATTTTTAAAAAATGCCTAAGATTTTAAAAATGTTTTTATGTTTACTTATTGATTGATTTTAGAAAGAGGAAGGAGAGAGGGATAGAAACATCAATGAGAAGCATGGGTCGGCTGCCTCCTGCACGCCCCCTACTGGGGATGGAGCCCACAACCCGGGCAGGTGCCCCGACCTCGAATAGAACCAGCGACCTCTCGGTGGTGCCCGGGACGATGCTCTAACCACTGCGCCACCGCGGGCGGAGCAGAGCAATTCTGTTACTTTCTCCTGCACAACTTGGGTTGGCGCGCGAGCCCCTGCCCCCGGGCCGTCCTCTCCCGGGCGCGCCTAGCCCTCGTGCTACTGAACGCACAGTTTCAGGGAGGGCTGGGTCAGCGCCTGGTTCCGATCCAGCTCTGCCCGCTTCTCCACGCTCTCCAGCCCAGGCAGCTCCTCTCCCCTGCGTCCAGCCGGGGTCGGTCCGGGTGCGCACGGGGTCGGGGCTCAGTGCTCCAGCTCCGCACGCGGGGATCGGGAACCCAGCCCGGGACGCCCGCCGTCCCCAAGGAAACCGCGCGTTTGGTGGCGAAGATGGAAGCTGAGTTGGGAACTGCTGGGGAGCCTGGGATCCTCCGTCGCGAGCACCAAGGATTGCGGCGCAGCTGAGGGTGGAGGGGCCGCGCGGCGC